GTACTGAAAGCACTTGACTACATCCACCACATGGGCTATGTACATAGGTATTAAAAAAAAAAACAAATTGATCCTTTTCCCTTCTTTTGGGAAGTTCTTGGAAATACTGCTCAGAGTAGAGCAGAGAGGATGATTCAGGGAGATGATATCCCTGGCCTTACCAAGCTGCAGGGAAGTGTCACTGTGGAACAGACTTATCCTGAAACCACAGTCCATAAGCTTTAGTCCTGCATTTCTCCCTGCCACAGAAACATTCTTTGGGAACACACAGAGGGGATGAAGAGAGTCCTGTTGATGTTTGTAGAAGTGGTGCCAGATGGCTGTTTGGGAGTCTCAGTGTCCTTGGGAGGGGGCTGATCAGCTGTTGTCCTGTGAATAAAGACAGGGAACCTGACTGTTTCTCCCTTCTTTTCCCAGGAGTGTCAAAGCCAGCCACATCCTGATCTCTGTGGATGGCAAGGTGTACCTCTCTGGCCTGAGGAGCAACCTGAGTATGATCAACCACGGGCAGCGCCTCAAAGTTGTTCATGACTTCCCCAAATACAGCATCAAAGTGCTGCCTTGGCTCAGCCCTGAGGTCTTGCAGCAGGTGTGTTTAAAAAATCCTGCTTGTGTTTAGTGATCTGTGGTATCTGTGTGATGTTCTGAGTTCTTGGGGCACCTTCAGGGGGTGTAGGGGCAGGACATGACAAAACCCACAGAGTCACTTTTTCTTGTGATGAGTTCTATCCTTTTTTTTTCCTGTCCTTTTTACCTCAAAACAAGTGACCCCCTGGCAAAGGGGAAACTTGTCTTCCTGTCCGAAGGGGAAGTTGCTGAACAGAAAGGAGGTGTTTAAATGCAAGGAAAAGGAAGGGTAGAGACTAGAGGAAACAGATTTGGGGTGGGTGCAAGGAAACTCTGACAAGTTTACCTATTTGATTAAACAGTTTATTTTAGGTACTTCTACAGATTGTCTCATTAGCAAAGTGTCACATCAGGTGCCAGTTACCCCAAGGCAGATGCCAACCCTACTGGCTGGCTGGTTGCAGTTGCACAAATGTTTCCCTTAACTGTGTGCCTTAACAATCCAAACCACCCCCCCACAGCACACCAGTCTATCTGTGGGCTGTCCTGTTCCTGCTCTCATCATCTGGGTTTGCTGACTTGCCCATCAAATCACGGGGACTGCCCAATCAAGTCCTTAGGGCTGATTTTTCTTTTCCCCTTTCCGCGCAGAACCTCCAGGGTTACGATGCGAAATCCGACATTTACAGCGTGGGGATAACGGCCTGTGAGCTGGCAAACGGCCACGTCCCGTTCAAAGACATGCCTTCCACTCAGGTGAAGTTTGCTTTGGCAGCTGCTCCTTTCCCACCCTGTATCCTGGCCCGTGGAACTGCTTGGCTGGGATGTGGAGACCGAAGGGTGCTGCGCCCGTGGGAGTGGGGGAGTCCCAGCTCTCGCTTCCTGGGTGTGTGATGGTTGCTTGTGCCCTGCTCTTCCAGATGCTCTTGGAAAAGCTGAATGGAACCGTCCCCTGCCTGCTGGACACCACCACAATCCCTGCTGACGAGCTGACTATGAAGACCTCCCGTTCCAGCGCTAATTACGGGATGGGCGAGAGCACGGCGCGAGCGGCCAACGGGGAGCCGGCCCTGCACCCCTATCTACGCACCTTCTCCACCTACTTCCATAACTTCGTGGAGCAGTGCCTGCAGAGGAACCCCGACTTCAGGTAAAGCCAGGGGAAAGCTGCTCCTCACACCTGCTCGAGTGAGCAAAGTTCAAAGGGTTCTTCCCCAGAGTGTGGTGGAGGGACGACGTGCTCCGTCCACTGAGCGTGTAAAACAGAGCAGTGTTAACACTTGGAGCACTTTCTAGGAGAGAGCCTGAAGGATTCCTTGACACCTTTTTTTTTGGGGAGTGGAATGGTGCTGCACATCAAGAAAACAAACTTGAACAACTTGAATTTCTGGCCCCTTTAAGACCCATTTTTCCCAGTTCCCATCACTCTGCTCTTCAACCAGCAGAGAAGAATGATGGGAAGGGACCAAGAGCTGCATTTTCCTCTGTAGTGAGGGCAGGGTGATCTGGAGCCATGACAGATTTCTCTGGCATGTCCCACTGCTCAGAAACTGTCCTTGGCCAGATGTTGGGGGGGGCAAGTAAGTAACTGGAAGGTTAAAAAGAAGGTTGAACTCACCTCACATAAACCATTATGTGATAATAAATACTTAATAATTGTGCTGCTGGTGCCAAAAGAGAGAAACCCAATAGAAATGGGAGAGGCAGGAAGGACTGGTCTGTTCTTTCTTCTTCTCCCTGACCTCAAAGACTGCCACCTTTTTTGTGTGCTTACTCGATTGTCCCTCCCTCCCGCAGGCCAAGCGCAGGCACTCTGCTCAGTCACCCCTTCTTCAAGCAGGTAAGGAACTAATTTATCTGCAGTTGTCTTGCTGTGTCACTGAACCCGAGGGTGGGCCTGTTGAGTTGCTGAATTCTCTGTGACCTGAAGGACTCAGGTTGGTGTCTGCAGTGCAGGGTGATGATCCCTCGTCCTCCAGGGCACGCACGGGCTGTTGCTGAAGCGTCTCTTGTCCATCTGCCTGTCCCACCTGCCACAGCAGCTCTTCCCCCACAGGCTGTTGAGTTCTGGGGTGTGGGCAGCTCTAAGTCCAGATGAGGGGTGCGTTTCCTGGCGGGTGTTGCTGCCTGGGTGAGGAGCAGCACCTGAGCAGGGGGGTTCTCTCTGCTCTGTGCAGATCAAGCGCCGCGCGTCCGAAGCACTCCCTGAACTCCTGCGCCCCGTCACCCCCATCACCAACCTGGAAGGGACACAGCCCCAGGATCCCAGTGGCATCTTTGGGTTGGTGTCAAATCTGGAGCAGCTGGATGTGGATGACTGGGAATTCTAAAAAAAAACAGGGACACTCGAGTTCTGGAGGAGCTCTCTGGACACTGTATTTCTTGGTCCTGCTCATAAAAGCTGATGAATGTTACACACAGAAAGAGTTTACAGGTCCTTGGGAAGGAACTTCAGCTGCCTGTTTACTTAAGAAGTAGCCTGGAAACATGGACAGACCTGAGCTGGGAAAGGATCAACCCAAGGAACTGTGGAGTATTCCAGATGGTGCAGTGCCCAGAGCCCCCAGCCTTGTGGCTGAGCACTGGTAGATCACTTGAGGGGGTTGAATTTGTGTAGTTATGGTCTCTATTTATGTGTTTCTAAAAATCACTGGCTTCCTCTTACCACAATTGAGGCTGCATGTCCTCACCCTCTGTGGTTCTTTCTCTTTTAAGGGTGCCTTAGAGTTGAGGGGAGGTGGGCAGCTCTTAGTTTTGGGCATTCTCTTAGAACTAGTCAGATTCCTGTTGTTACAGGACAAGTTTTGATGGGGACACAAAGGGATTATGTTCTTTAGTTACCGCTTTGTGATGGAAAATGGGAGATCAAAGCCAAGCTGGTGCCATTCCAGGCACTCTTGCTGCGCTGGGCATTCCTCTGCAGCACTGGGCTCTGCCAGTTCTGGAGAGGGCTTTTGAGACTCCTCCCTCGATGCTGAGCACTCTGAACTCCAGGTCAGACAGGACCTTCCAGCCTCCCCTCCCAGCTGCCCGTGTCACCAGAGCAGTGGATGCCTGTACCACGAACCAGCTGTTTTATCCCCAGCCAGTTGAACCTCATGCTATCTGGGCCGGTCTCACAGCTCTCTTTACCAGCTTGTTCTCAGTGATTTACCCTGGCAGAGAGGGAAAATAAGTTGATTTTCCCGCTAAATCCTCTTGCTGATGACTCCTGTACAGCACTGAACTTCACCCTTCCATTACCACTGCTCTTCTGCCTTCCCTGACTGACTGACAGGTCAGAGCTGCTCTCGTGGCTCCCTGTGATTCCTGCCTGTGTGACTCTGCCCTTCCCCCATCCCACAGCATTTGGGTTTTTTTTTTTTTTTTGAGGTGTATTTAAGGCTTTTAGTTTGACTTTTCCAAGGACCACCGGTGCTGGAGGTCATCTGCTCTTCACTGCAGCACTGAGAATCCCCGTGGAGGTGCCGTTGATGGCAGGAGTGGTGCTGGCAACAGGTCCTTCTTGTGTTTATAAACTGTACTTGAACCCAGATGAAAGTTTGTTACTCTAGTTTTTTTTGCCAAAAAAAACCAAATAAAACATTTCTGGAGTTGTTTTTTTTTAAGGCTGCTGTTTCTGCAGGATGATGGGAGTGAAGCAGAGGGTGCCACAGGCTGGCTGTGCACACTTGCTCTTATCTCCATGCAGGTCACCAGTTCACTGCAGCTGCCCTTCATGTTTCAAAGACATATTACAGCGAAATCAAGAAGCTGCAAACACCTGCACTTTCTCTTCTCTGAAACCTTCAGTGAAACCCTTCTCCCAGCTCAGGGGTGTTTGTAAGGTCAGGCCCAGTTTCCTCCCCAGGATCAGGTTTGTCTCCTGATTTAATCTTGTTAGGGGTAAGTGGATCTTCATTTCTTGGTTTGCTATGAAGTCTGGAGTTTGCAAAAACCCTGATCAGGACTGGAGCCCTGCTACTTAAAGCCAGAAAAAGCACAGTATCACTTGCCAGGAAACCTTTGGGGCTCAGTGAATGATGGTTGGGGCTGGGTTTTCTCACAAACAGGGCTGATTCAAGAGGTGTGTTCCATCCCTCTTGAGTTCTAATAACCAAGACAGGAGAGCATAAATCCCCAATAGCTGCAGTGCTGCAGCCTGTTTTCCCCTGAGCTGGCATTTTCAGGGTGAAGGATGAACTTAACGCCAGTTCATATTTCTCCTCCCTGTCCCTGTTTGCAGCTTTGCTCCATGCTCAGAGATTATGGGCTTAAATTAATTTGGGTAGTTTTATGCTTACACAGCAGCAGGATCACCACAGCTCTGAGTGTGACCTTACCTGTTCTGCCAGAGCAGTGAACAAGGGGTCCGGCACAGGTGGACACTGTTCCAGTAGCTGCTGGTTGGATACACAACCCCTGGCTCCAGCTGTAAAGGTGGTTTTTTTTTCTCCTACAAAAGCTTTATTCAGTTATTTACAAAACAGGCTGCTCTGCTACTGCTGATCCTCGCCGTGGTCCGACTGCTGCTCCTCCTCTTCCTCCCCTTTGTGTTTTTCCAGTTTTGCCATGAGCTCTGGAAAACAGGAACAGGCAGGATGAGGTGACACGAGCAGGGGCTGTCCCACAGGCCCTGTGAACACCCAGGAGCAGGGCAGCTACTGAAAATCCCTTCCCTGCAGGGGCTCAGCTCAGCGGTACCCAGTGCTGGCCGAGTCCAGGCATGAGCTGTTAGTCCATCACTGCATTACTGATGGCACAAGCTGCTCCCCTGGCACATCTATCCCCCTTCGCTCTGCAGAACTCACTCTGAATTCCCCACAGACCCTCCCAGGCCATGATTTAATATCTCCTGGCACTAATAAAGCTCTGCTGGCAGCCAAGAGCTCTGAGCTCCAGGGCCAGGCCCAGCCCCCTGAGGAGCTGGTGGCTTTGCTGCTCGGGAAGGTTTCTGTCCCTCCCCAGGTGGGTGGTACCTTTTGCTGGGTTGAAGACCCCGTTGGTTTGCTTGTCGCAGACGTAGCAGCGCTGGGATTTGCGGTAGTGCTGGAGGGCACAGCTCTCACAGAAGTAGTGCCTGCACCTGGAGGGACACACAAGGCTCACTGCAAGCCATCATCAGCACACACAGTCACCCTGGCCTGGAGGCAGGAATTGGACTGCTGGTGCTCAGGGGAGGCAAAAGGGAGCTGCAGGCAGAGCTTCCCCTGCATCCCTGTCCCCACGTGAAGCTGTTTTGGTGATGTGGAGTGACAGCACAGCCACCAGTGACCTGTTCTGACACAGGCACCGGGGCACCCAGCAGTGTGGGACAGGGCTGCCCTCAGCCTCCTCCTCCTCACCAAGCTCTTGGCTTCCCCATGCCCCCATTTCTCTGCCATTCCAGGAGGAATGAAGGCATGACAAAACCCCAAGGCTGAGGGGAAAAACTCTGTAATGAGTCAGCATCTGTGAAAATCTAAGAAGTGCCTGACCAGGGGCTTGAGATTCCTTCCAAGGGGATGCTCCAGATGCAGCTGAGGCTCCCTGGTTCTCAGAGGACTCCCCCACCCACCAGAAAGCCACGGCAGACAACAAGCAGTTCCACCCCCAGCCTGAGGGCAGTGTTTGCCTCCACAGTGAACAACTCAGGGAGCTGAATCCACAGCAGACACCAAACCACCACTCACTTGGTGACCACGGGGTTCTTGAAGGAACCTCTGCAGATGAAGCATTTGAAAGGCATGTCCTCCTCATCACTGCTCACCTCGTAGTTCTCCTCGTCTGCAGAAGAGAGAGTGAAGCAGAGCAGAGCAAGAGCAGCCAGCCCAGCCCATGTGTGGGGTGTGGAATATTAAAGATTAAGAAGGCACAGCATGGTGGGACTGAATCTGTGCTGGAAACAATGGAGCTCTGGCATCTGGGAGTTGCTGATGGCAGTCACGCACGTGGGCCTGGGCTATAATTAGGGCTAATGAGCCAGCGGGCCTGGTGCTCATCTCACAAGAGCAAATTCTTTTCTCCCTCACCCACTCACTGCTATAAAGAGAAACATCCTCCAGCCCCCTCATGTTTTTCAGACTTTCTTCCAAACCAGCTGCCACCAAAACTCTGGCTCCAACTGAACAGAGAGCACCCTCCTCCCTCCCAGCTGCACAACAACGCTCACCGACCCTGGGCCACAGCTATGGACACAAAAGGGAACAGTCACAGCCCCTGGGCACCTGTGGGACAGCTCCAGCTCCACAAAACCCCACAACAGCAGGGCCCTCCTGTCACAGAGCCACAGGGGAAAGAAATCACCCTCTTGAGTGGGGTCAGTGGCTGTCCGAAAGCAGCAGAGCGAAGCTCATACCGCGGCAGGGAGCTCCACAGTTTGGGAATAACGAGCCCTTTGCTGTCCCACACTGCACACCCCCCGGGCTGGATTAATACTGGCCAGAAATCCATGATAAAAGGCAGGATGTGGTGTCCTCCTCCCCCAGGGGTGCCGTACCGTTGACCCCGTAGCGCCCCTCGTCCAGCTCCCGCTCGATCTGCCAGCCGTGCTTGTAGTCCGAGCGGTCGTGCAGGAACTTGCAGCTGTCTGAGCAGCACAGGGAGAAGAGGAATTACCAGCCAGGCTGGGAGGGCACAGTGTGTTACCAGCACACCTCGCTCCTGAGCTCTGCCCAGCAGGTGAACCTCGGTTGTTCCCCGCTCCAGGGCAGTGCCAAGCTCCTGGAGCAGGTATGGGACAGTGCCAGCAGTCACACACGTGGGAAGTGGGATGAGGAACAGGAAACCCCATCCCTCCCGTGGCCCCCGTGGACCCACATACCTGTGGGAATGCCAGGACCCCCACTGTGGGTCTCAGCACCACAAAAGGGGCTCACAGCTGGGCTGGATCCCTTTGCAGACCTGCTGCAGCACTGTTTCAGCTGCAGGGATGATCCCCACTCACCCCCAAAGCCACAGAACCCCGTCTCCTTGTAGTCCTTGCAGATGTCAGGCTGGTAGTCCCACCGCACCGTGGCCCGAAGGTGCTCCGGAGCACGGATGGGGCCTTTCCTGGAAGGATGGAGAGGGCTCAGGGTCCCTGCCCAGCAGGGCCTGGCCAGAACCAGACACCAGCCCTGCCAGACAGACAGAAACCAGCAGTGACAGCAAAGTTCAAGCCTCAAAGAGGTGCCTTTGGGATGGTCCCAGTTCCCCCAGGCTCATCCCAACCCACCTGACCATTCCTGAAGAGGCATTTCCCATGGACGTGTCCTTGGGCTTCACGTACTTCTGGTAGTTGTTAATGCCACGGTAAATTTTATCATCTTCCTTTCCTCTCAGCTCCTGGGAGAGCAAAAAGATAAAGGATCAGGAGAGCTTCATGGCACTGATCAGCTTTCATCACTCTCCCTTCCCGCCCTGCCCTCCTTAACACCAAGATGCCAACAAAGCCACAGAATTCCCCTATTTGCAAGGGTTGCACTCCTGGTTTTTCAAATTTCCAGGGAAGCAGAGACTCCAACTCTTGCTGGTGTGCAGAAGGGGATGAGGAAAGCACAGGCAGTCCTGCTGCAGAGCACCAGCTCCTCAGAGCAAGGCTGCCTCACCTCCTGGATTTTCTGGCTGCGCTCGAAGATGGCCTGGGCGTCCTTCTCCTTCTCCGTGTCCAGCTCGTACACTGCTGTGGCTCCCATGTCTTCTGGGCCCACAGGTTTCTGAAAAGCAAGGAAAACTCGTGACAAGAGTGGAGGGAAAACCTGGCCAAGCCTGGGAGCTCCCTGGCTACCTGCAGGGATGTTAAGGAGCAAGAACTGCACACACCTGATTTACCCTCTATCGGTTTCTGCCATCCCTTGGCATCTGCCCAGGAGAATCCCCCATGGGCTGGAGGCCCATTCCCCACTGCTCCCAAACTTTAGGCTGCACTCAGGAAACACTTGGCCTCATTTTACTCCTCCCCACTCAGCCCCAGCTCAGCTGGAAGCTGCACTCAGCTCTGCCACGTCCAACCCTTCAACCACGGGACCCTCCTGCCCACGCAGGGGATGGCACATCTGAACTTCTGACCCGGCTGGGGGCGGCCCAAACTCAGTTTTAAGGCAGTGATCTGGTTTAGATTCCTCTTTAATGGACTGAACCAGACACCCTCTCCTAGGTTTTAT